TATTTTTGTGTATGGTGTTAGAAAGTGTTCTAGTTTCATTCTTTTACAGGTGGTTGACCAGTTTTCCCAGCACCACTTGTTAAAGAGGTTGTCTTTTTTCCATTGTATATCCTTGCCTCCTTTGTCAAAGATAAGGTGACCATAGGTTCGTGGATTTATCTCTGGGCTTTCTATTCTGTTCCATTGATCTATATTTCTGTCTTTGTGCCAGTACCATACTGTCTTGATGACTGTGGCTTTGTAGTATAGTCTGAAGTCAGGCAGATTGATTCCTCCAGTTCCATTCTTTCTCAGGATTACTTTGGCTATTCGAGGTTTTTTGTATTTCCATACAAATTGTGAAATTATTCGTTCTAGTTCTGTGAAAAATACCGTTGGTAGTTTGATAGGGATTGCATTGAATCTATAGATTGCTTTGGGTAGTATAGCCATTTTGACAATATTGATTCTTCCAATCCATGAACACGGTATATTTCTCCATCTGTTTGTGTCCTGTTTGATTTCTTTCATCAGTGTTTTATAGTTTTCTATGTATAGGTCTTTTGTTTCTTTAGGTAGATATACTCCTAAGTATTTTATTCTTTTTGTTGCAATGGTGAATGGTATTGTTTCCTTAATTTCTCTTTCTGTTTTCTCATTGTTAGTGTATAGGAATGCAAGAGATTTCTGTGTGTTAATTTTATATCCTGCAACTTTACTGTATTCATTGATTAGCTCTAGTAATTTTCTGGTAGAGTCTTTAGGATTTTCTATGTATAGGATCATGTCATCTGCAAACAGTGAGAGTTTCACTTCTTCTTTTCCTATCTGGATTCCTTTTATTTCTTTTTCTGCCCTGATTGCTGTGGCCAAAACTTCCAAAACTATGTTGAATAGTAGTGGTGAGAGTGGGCACCCTTGTCTTGTTCCTGATTTCAGGGGAAATGCTTTCAATTTTTCACCATTGAGGGTGATGCTTGCTGTGGGCTTGTCATATATAGCTTTTATTATGTTGAGGTATGTTCCTTCTATTCCTGCTTTCTGGAGAGTTTTAATAACAGACAACACCGAAATACAAAGGATCATAAGAGACTACTACCAGCAGCTCTATGCCAATAAAATGGACAACTTGGAAGAAATGGACAAGTTCTTAGAGAAGTATAACTTTCCAAAACTGAACCAGGAAGAAATAGAAGATCTTAACAGATCCATCACAAGCAAGGAAATCGAAACTGTAATCAGAAATCTTCCAGCAAACAAAAGCCCAGGACCAGATGGCTTCACAGCTGAATTCTACCAAAAATTTAGAGAAGAGCTAACACCTATCTTACTCAAACTCTTCCAGAAAATTGCAGAAGAAGGTAAACTTCCAAACTCATTCTATGAGGCCACCATCACCCTAATTCCAAAACCAGACAAAGATGCCACAAAAAAAGAAAACTACAGGCCAATATCACTGATGAACATAGATGCAAAAATCCTTAACAAAATTCTAGCAAACAGAATACAACAATATATTAAAAAAATCATACATCATGACCAAGTGGGCTTTATCCCAGGAATGCAAGGATTCTTTAATATCCGCAAATCAATCAATGTAATACACCACATTAACAAATTGAAAGATAAAAACCATATGATTATCTCAATAGATGCAGAAAAAGCCTTTGACAAAATTCAACATCCATTTAAGATTAGTAGTTTATCAGAGGGTAAGGGGGTGGGGGAAAGGCAATACAGCTGAAGTGGGTTAACTGTATAGTGATGGATGGTAACTAGCTTTGTGATGGTGATCACTTTGTAGTATATGTATACATTTGAATTATAATGCTGTATACCTAAAGCTTATATAATGAAAAAGAATCATAGCCCTAGGGTATAATTTCAATTACTACTTTATAAATTATACAACATTACTTTGTATTTCTCTGAATTAGAAGTGACTGAGATATCTAAAGAAAGTTTTAGAAAATTCAACTTGCGAACTGAAAAATGTATTTTTTCCATGTACTTATACATGTACATAACACATTTCTTATTTATTTAGGTAGCTACTTGACACATACTAATGGAGCACAGTAAAAAAAACTTTATTTCTAACTTTGAATGACAGGAAGCGCAGAGAGTCCCGTACAGGATTAAGATGACATCATTTCGTAAAGATATCCAAAGAAACCATTTTTTTTAAAGAAAACATTGCCTACTAAAAATACCATGATGTACAGAAAATCTAGACTAAACTTACTTTGAATATCCTCTCAAAGTCTATTTTTCCATACTAGAGAACATAGACACAAGATATAAAATACCTATAGAAAATGGATGCTGTGATATTAAGAGAAGAGGTAGAAAGGGAAAAAAGAAATCTCAGACTTTAATTTTTTTGTTCAACTTTATACACAGTTTGCATTGGTAATATACATTTAGTGTTCCATTTATTTTTAAATGCATCAGAAAATCAATCATGATAGATCTGTGACCAATACAAACATTTCTGAATTCAAAAAATTCAGTTAGAAAAGTCAATAAACTAGCACTTCTGTAAAGATAATTATTAAACAAATGGTAATGTGTTTTTACTCCTAACATATCCAACATCACTTCTTTCTTGTGCCATATAGGAATAAAATTTAGCAGGAAGTAAGCTATCTACTGTATGTTTTAGGGCCTAATAAAATATTTTAGTTTGATTACTTAACACTCTTCAAATCACAATCCAATTCAAATAATGATAATCATTCCTTACTCAATACCTGGTGAAGTAAATATATAATAACCATAAAAACTATTTTGAATAAATTTTACACTTACTCAAAAACTACTAAAAGAAATACATCAGAGACTTAGTATAATGTTTGCTTGGGGACTATGCTGTGAAACTGCCAGAGAAGTGTTCCTTTTTGTCACTCAGTAAATAAAACTGCCATGGTATGGACCTCAGATAGACCCATCTTAAACAGAACTTTGCTTTGCAATAAAGAATGTTACAGAGGTTCTGGTGTATTTTCTCTTTAAAGTAATAATTAATTGACAAGTGAAATGCAATAAGGAAATGGCCTATAATTTCACTAATATTTCAATGATACAAAACATGAAAATACTTGTAAAATAATTAACATCTAGATTAATTAACAAGAGGAATTCTACAGCATAACTATGAAAGCAGTATGAATGATTGCTGTAGCTTTTTAATGATCACTTTATTTGTAACTCTGTCAAATTTTTACATTAAAAACTAATAACTAAGGTACATATTTGTAATTTCTTACTTTATTACCCAAGTTTTCACTAGAGAGATTTTTGTCAACAACTTTTTTTATATCCAACTGAAAAATAACTAATTAGCTCAAATATTTAAAGTAATAAATTACCAATAATTTAATTTTTAAAACTTGTAGTCATAAAAAGCTTTAATTCTTTAAAAACTTTGATTTGACCCTTGGGGAATGTAAAGAACACATCTGTTTCCTAAAGCCAAAACTTAATTATATGGCTTCATGCCAACTGATCAAAAAAAGTAGAGTTGCTCTTAAACCAATCCTTATTATATCATTTGGCACAATAGTTTTTACCTTTTATATATATCATCAAAACACCCAGGCCAACATTTCTAATAAGTTGCATCCATATTAAGAGGTAACAAGTGCAAATAATCACATACTTAAGATATGATACTTGCTTGACTACTACAAAAGTAATTATAGTTAAGTTTTTCTATAGGAAACTGAGTTATTCATTACAATAATGTTTTTGAAAAATTCCTGCACTACTACCAATGTAAGTTTATCCATCCTTAAATTAAACAAGGACTTTATATAATAGTATGCTTATGAAAAGATTTATAGAGTGGTCTATATTATTTCATCATGTTAACTGAGGATCAGTTAAGATTTACAGGATCCACAAATGGACATATTTTCTAATAAAAACCTATTCCTCAACTGCTGCTCTCTGAATCTGAATATAACCAAAGGCAGCATACTGATGTAGTAACGTTTCTGAAAGTCAAGACATAAACCCAAACTTTGGCAGTTTTATCAAAATGTCCTTGATAATTAAATACTCTGCTAGTTCTCAAAAACCTTACTGCTTTGTGTAACATTTTCAATACAGAAATAAAATACTCTTCAAATAATACATTTCAAAAGATGATTAAGTTTTGCAAAATTAAATAGCATAAATTAAGCATATTAACATCGTTTTTCTGACAACATGAAATAACCAGTTTAAGAAAACTGCAATGGACTAAATAAACACAAATGTCACAATGTGAGGCACATTTATCCTCACATATTACTGAACTTACAAAATCTACTAAAATATTTTAAAATTCCATTAATACATTAAAAAAATTGCAAAAATGCTTAAGACTATATGAGAGTCATCAATTACACAGGCACTTCACATGTAAACAATCTACAGTACAACTGAAAATATTTTGGCACCAACCTATAATACTAAAAGAATTCAATATAAAGCCAGAGTTCTGTAATTTCTACTCACTTTTTTTCCTATAAAACTAAGACCAAAGACTGAAGAAATTATGTATAAACTAGAATCACAAGTATATTAAATAACTCAAATATAGAATTAGTTTTAAATTGGTAAAAAAATGATTACCTTGTCCAGATGTTTACCAGTATGCTATGATAAAAAAATTAAATCTAATGTGATTATTAAATTGAAATCACATTTTAAACTTAGTATTAATCTGATTATTGAAAAATAATCAAGATTATTAGCTAACTTAGTAAAAAGAGAATTTGAATTTACCAAAAACTCTTAGTAAATTGAGTTTTTGTAAGAGTTTGTAACTCTTAGTAAATTGAATCTAAGTTTTCCCTCAAAAGAAGTTTGGGCAATTCAAAAATTGAATTTTGATGTTTTAACATGATTTTTCTTAAATCTAAGGCTTAAATAATAAAATTATTTTTGACTAGACATCCTTATTCATAAATTTGAGATATCTGAAATCACTTCAAATAAATGAAACTAGACATTTAGGATTTTTAAATGTTACGTCAAGCCGTAGAAAGCTGAGATGCCTTGGTTGTAGGTAATTCAAGAAGAGCCTGAACTGTGACACCAACTTTCACAAGACCTCTTTCTTCCAAAATATGATGAGGCAAACAGAGTCTTTCCTGAAGAAAACAAAACAAATGATATTTAAACATTTGCTTTTTAATAGTACAGCAAAACCTCAGTAAGTCAGAACTGGGTTTTTAAATCATGCTTTTTATAAAACTCTAGGTAAAAATTATACAATTCTAATGAAATAAACTTTAAGATGTCTGCTTCAATAGATTTTTATGGTATAGAATTCTATTTTATTGGCTGTATTTTTATTTGAGGTTGATCTGATCTACACAATAAGAAAATATTTTTAAGTGAGATGGTGGTGCTAGATGTTCCCTAAGCCCTTGTGCTAGAGCAGAAAGAGCACTATGTTTCCAGCCAAGAGATCTAAGGGCCATATGGAGTACTAAAGGTACTAAAATTCCCTGGGATACTGTTTTTTCATCCTGAAAATGGAACTGTGTGAGAAACAAATAGAAGAATCTATATATGGAAGCATTTTAAGCATTTTGTAACCTGTTCAGTCCTATACAAAACTAGCCACTCTGGTTCCTTCTACCAGTTCTTAAGTTCCACGGTCTGTGATGTGCATAGCACTTCAGTACTTTTTTTGTCGTAAGGTGACTTCCCTCCAGCTTCTAGTGATGTTGTGTTGCTTCTTAGTTCAAATAGTCTAGAATTTGATAAATAACAACTGTCTTCTCTTCTAAGTCATTATATATGTCATTTCTTCACAATTCTATGAGAAAGAGGGTTTAGAGACAACTTTGCATTAGGTTTCATTAGCCTTCAGTGATCCTCTTTTAACATTTTTAATGTTTCCAAGGGTTCTGTCTTCACCCTTTTCTCTTTCTGTACTGTATCCTCTCTTTGGTATTCTCAGTTCAGTTCAGTTCAGTTCAGTCGCTCAGTCGTGTCCGACTCTTTGCGACCCCATGAATTGCAGCACGCCAGGGCTCCCTGTCCAGCACCAACTCCCGGAGTTTCTCAAACCCTCATCAAAATCACAAGGATTTTAATTGAAGATTTGCATGAATGTGCACAGCATCAAATAAATTTGGTAGCATTTTTTAAAGAAATGATACAATCTACTGCTTCAGTTGGAACACCCACTCATCTCAGGAAAATAAGCTAGTAGTGGATATAGTAGGCAGCAAACAGACCATCTATAGGTCCCATATGGTCCATGATTTGTTTTAGTTGGCTAGCATAGTGTTTTACAAATCTGGAAACATTACTTTTTTTAATCCAGTGTTTCTTGAAACATTGGAAACTTTGGCAAGATAAGGCCCCTAACCCCAAAGAGTAACAACTATATCTTCCATCCTGATAATTTTCAAATCTTTATTTCCTGCCAAAATCTCTCTACTGAGCTCCAGATACAAACGTCAACTTGATACAGCCAAATGATGTCAACAGACATATCAAAATCAATATGTCCACAACAGAACTACTTCCTTACTAAATTAACTTTTCTGTCTGTATTCTATATCTCAGTCAGTAATACACTAGTTAGTCTCTCTCAACATAAACCTGGGAATCATAATTGTCTTTCTTCCTTATTCCCATAATTCAGTCATCAAATACTACTGATACTATCCCATTTATCAAAATAGTTCTCCAAACCTATCTTCTCACTCCATTTTCACTGCAACATTTATTGCCCTCCTAATATTTCGCTTGTTTATTCAAAAAATCACCAACATATATCAGAAACTAAAAAAAGTTTCAAATCAATGGCATCAGCTCCCACCTTAGAAACTAGAAAAAGCAGAGCAAATTAAACCAATGGTAAGCAGAAAGAAGGAAATAATGGAGATGAGAGAGGAAACCAATAAATTTAAAAACAGAAAATAATAGTGAAAAAACAATAAAACCAACATTAGTTCACTGAATTTTTTTTTTAATTCACAAAATCCCTATCTAGATTAATCAGGAAAAAGAGAGAAAAATACATGAATTACCAATATCAGGAGTAAAAGAAGTGATGCCACGAAGAGAGTCTACAAATACTAAAATGATAACAAAGGGGACATTACAAACAACATTATAGCAACAAGTTTGACAAACTAGATGAAAAGGACAAATTCTTTGAAAGACACCATATATCAAAGCTCATACAAGAAGAAATAGAAAATTAAATAGCCTTATATTTATTAAAGAAATTGTACTTAAAATTTTTCCTAAAAAGAAAACCCCTGCCTAGATGGGTTCAAGGTTCAATAATGAATGTGACTAAATATTTAATGAATAAATAATATTAATTCTATCCATAATATTCAATAAAAGTGAAGAGCAGGGAATACTTCCTAACATGTTCCATGAGGTCAGCATTACCTTGACACCAAAACCAGACAAAAACTTTAAAAGAAAGAAAACTAACGAACAATAACCTTATTGATATAGATGCAAAAGGGCTAAACAAAATTTTAACAAATTGAATCCAACAACATAAAAATAGCAACAACAACAAAATCCATCATGACCAAGTGGAGTTTATCCCAGGAGTCCAGGTTTGAGTTAATACCTGAAAATCGACCAATGTAATTAACAATGCTGTGAAAGAAAAAAAAAGTTAACTCAGTAGATGTAGAAAAAGCACTTGACAAAATTCAATATTCATTCCTAGTAAGAACTCTCAGCAAACTAAAATCATGTATCTCATAAGGAACTTGTATCCGGAATATATAAAGAAATAATAAAAGGTGACTAATGCAATTAACAAATGAGCACAGGATTTGAAAAGACATTTCTCCAAAGAATATATACAAATAGTTAACAGGCACACAAAAAGATGACCAACATCATTAGCCATTAAGGAAAAGCTAATCAAAACCACAATGAGACCACTTCAGACCTAGTAGGATGACTAGAATCAAAAAGGTAGACAATAATAATTGGTGAGGATGCAGAGAAATTAGAACCCACATACATTGCTTCTGTGAATGTAAACTGGAAAATAATTTAGCAGTTCTGCAAAAAGATAAACAGAGTTACCATATAACCCAGCATAGAGCAACCATTTAACCTACCATATAACCTTGTTAACTAAGAGAATTAAAACAAGCATTCAAACAAAAACATGCTCATGAATGTTCACAGTAGCATTATTCATAATAAACAATGAGTGGAAACAGCCCAAATATCCATCAACTGATGGATGGTGAACAAAATGTGGTACATACATACAATGGACTATTACTCAGCCCCCAAAAAATGAAGTACAATCATGCCTCAGAGATATTGAGACTCCAGTTCTAGACCACCAAAATAAAGCAAATATTGCCATAAAGTAAGTCACATGAATTTTTGTTTCGTAATGTATATAAAAGTTATATTTATACTATACTGTAGTCTCTTAGTGTGCAATAACAGTACACCTTTTAAAAAAACTTAATTAAAAAATATCTTGTGACTAAAAAATACTAATCATCACCTGACAGTGCAGGGTTGTCACAAAACTTGAATTCATAAAAAATGCTGTATTTGTGATGCACAATAAAGTGAAGTGCAATAAACCTTTGTGTGTCTGTACTGCTTTATGCTACAACATGGATAATAAACCTTGAAAGCATTATGCTAAATGAAAGAAGCCACACACAGAAGACCCCATATCAAATGACATTATTAATATGTAATGTCAAGAATAGGCAAATTCATACAGATAAAAAAGGGGAGGGACTGCTAACAGCTAAGAGGTTTCTTTTGGGGTGATAAAAATATTCTACCCTTGTTAATAGTTTGCTGTCCAACTCTGTGACTATACTAAAAACCATTGAATTAAAGACTTTAAATGGGTGAATTTTATCATATATTAAATATTTTTTTAAAATAAAGACAATGTATGTGCCCAGGCCTAAAAAAAGGATAACTTCAATCCATACCTTTCAACATATATAAAAATTAACTAAAATTTGATTATAGACCTAAATGTAAAAATTAAGACAATAAAAATTTTAGAAATAAATATAGGAGAAAATCTTTGTGACCTTAAGTTATGCAAAGATTTCTTTGGTTTGACACCAAAAATACAATCAATTTTTTTAAATGACAAATTTTATTACAAAAGATTTAAAATTTCTGCTCTTTGAAAGAGACTATGAGAAGGAAAAGACAAGGCAAAGAACTGGGATACAGTATTTGTAAATCATATATTGTATCTGATAAAGGACTTGATCCACACATCTGATAAAGGACTTTATCTATAATTGATAAAGAAATCTCAAACTCAATAAGAAAGCAACTCAAAAGATAGACAAAAGATTGGAACAGACACTTATTAAAGTCATACAAATGGAAAATAAGACCTTGAAAAAATGATCAACATCATTAGTCTTCAGAAAAATGGAAACTAAAACCACACTGACAAACCGTACATACCTATTAAAATGAATAAATTTAAAAAAACACTGACCATACTGAATATTACTGAGGATGTGGAGGAACTGGAACTCTCCTACGCTGCTGACAGGAATGTAAAATGATATAACCACTTTGGAAAAGTTTTATACTCTTAATGTTAAGCATATACCTCCCATATGTTCTAGCTATTCCACTTTCATGTGCCTACCCAAAATTAAAGAATGTATATATCCAAACACTGGTACATAAAAGTTCATAACAGCCTTATTTATAGTAGCCCCTAAAACTGTAAACAATACAAATGGCCATCAACAAACGGGTCAATAGACTGACAAACTGTGATATATTCATATAATAAGATACTACACAACAATAAAAAGGAATGACTTATTTATACATGCAACATTGATGAGTCTTAGAATAGCTACACTGAGCAAAAGAAGCCAGAAAAAAATTCATACATATTTTATCATTCCAGTTATATATAACTCCAGATGGAAAATGCAAACTAAACTGTAATAACAGAAAACGGCTTTTAGTGGTTGACTAGAGGATTGCAAAGGGATCAAGGAAACTTTTATGGGTAATGGACATGTTCATTATCCTGACTATGGTAATGATTTCATGGTTTATGCATATGTCAAAATTCATCAATGAATTTTATTGAACTTTATATGAACTTTATTGTATGTCAATTATACTTCAATAAAACTGTTAAAAATACAAAAATATCCAAAAAACTTAAATTTAAAAACTGACTATATATTATCATTTTCAAGTCAGGGAAAACCAAATTGAAGCTAAAAATAAAATCTCTTCTTTCGTTACCAATACCTAGAGAGTTTTGAAAATGAAAGCTGATGAGCCACCCTTATGGTGAGGATTGGTGAGTCACTAACTCTGCCACAGAACAAGCTGGAGAAAGAAGATGAGAGCATGCTAAGTAGAACAGTTTTCATAAGACCTTTCCTGTCATTCTCCTTGCCTAATGCACAAAGAAAGTGTCAGGAGTAAGTTAGATTGTCTTTCATTTCATGTAATAGAACAGAAATAGAGAATATTCAAGTTAGAGGGTGGGTTCTGGAATTAGATCACTGGGGTTCATAGTTTGCCTCCACTGTTTACTAAAGGTAAAGTTTTAGTAAAAGTAAAGTTTGGCAAACTTGCACAAGTTTCCTAAGCTCTCTGTGCCTCAGTTTCCTCATCTGTAAAATGTCATTCATTTAATAAATGTTGACTGAAAACCCCTCATCAAAAAACTCTTAAAACAAAAACTGACAAAACAGGAAAATATATATAATGCAATAACAAACTTGAAAAATTCCTAATTTCTCACTAAGAGATTAAGAGTATAAAAAGAAAGAACTAACATAAAAATGCTTAGGAATTAAAATTTCAAAACATCATGTCAAGCATAGATAAGAAGTAACTAGAGGAGAACTGCATATAGCTTCCAAATTAAACAGTAATTAAACTGATTCTCTCTCTATAAATTATATTTATTCACTTGCAGGAAGAGGTTACAGTAGAATTTGTAAACCAGATTATTATGACACTATTGCAAAGAGAACTTAATAATCACAGTATGTAAGTGTATCAAAACAACACATGGTACACTTTAAACTTACAAAATGTTATGTCAATGATATCTCAATAAAATATACTTTAAAAAATAAAAGGAAAAAAAGTACAACTACATTGTGATCTGATAACAATTTCAAGTCCTCTCAACAGTCCATCATGTTGTTAAGTTTATAATGTTATCAAAAAAGCAATATTTTGATTTTTCATTTTCATTATATATTTATAATATTGCTTTGTTAATTTAATACTATTACAATTATTACATGAAACCTAAGCTAATTTCTACAAATGTCAGAAAAAGTTTATCCAGAGAGGTATTATCATAACATGTTACTAAGATTTCCAAATTGACATTTTGAATAAAGTTTTAAATGTTGTTCACACTGAATGAAAAGCTTCCAATCAGAGTCTATTCTTAGATTAAAGGAATCCAAATGTCCTCTATCAGGAAAAATAAGAGTAGCAACAGCATCACAATCAACTTGTCATATGACCAGTAACTTATGTTTATTCGATGATGTACATGATTAGTAAATTTTTCTATATATGTAGCCATTGTATAATTACTTTAAAAGCAGCTTAAAAATCATTCATTAGACAGCTGTTACATATAAAGCTGGAATTCAATAGAAGGCGAAAAGGAAGGTATTCATTTTCATGTTCAGAAAGCACTATTCATGCCTACTATGAAGAAGCCAGTTTGCACGTAATAAATTCATATTTAAATGATTGTTTTGTTAGAAAAATAATTACCTGTGAGACACCCAACTTTTTACAAGCATCGAGAAAATTTTCTACATTTCTTCGACATTTCGCCATGCTAAGTTTAGGCTGCAAAGTAAGAAAAATAGTATATTTTCAGGTATATTTGTACAAACTTATAAAAACTCAAAATTATATTTATTGAAGTATATTATTTAAAGATTGTTTCAAGCAGTTCTATCTTCCTTTAGAGAACTAACAAACTGTAGCCAAAACTTACCACTGCTGGTGATGGCACATGAATACTAGCTACAGAGCGTGGCCTTATATGATTGGCTAAATGGCAAAGAACAACCCCATCCATCAGTGCAGCTCCTATGTCATCAGGCAAAATTACTTTTAACCTGGATTCAAGATTCTATAAAAGAAATGGGTATAAATCACATTCCATTTAAATATATATATATATAACAAATCATCACATAATCTAAAATTTTAAAGAGTACTGAAAATAAAATATTCTTTTTTAATTTTCCAAGTTAAACCCATTTCTATAAAGCAGACCTGAAAGGTCAATGTGACTTACATTGCGAAGCTGTCGTATTTGCTCTCGCTCTTCCCGTAGATGTTCCATCTTTCTTCTCATTGTAAAACCTGGATCTGCTGCCCCATATTCCTGGCGAGATGAGCGGCTGAAAGCTATAAAAACAGAAATTGCCTAGCTTATTACAAAGCTAATCGGAAGGATCAACCATCGGCAGGGAAAGAGGCATGATACAAAGAACTAGAACAAAATGACATAAAACACTTTCATTATTAATGAATTCTAAATATTTTTTACAGAATATAATTGAAACTTACTTATCTGCATAATTGAAAGCAACAGGGAAGACAAGTGCAACAACTGCTACCACCTATACATGTTCTTACTTAAACATATGTTATTAGAAACATGATCCAGGTTAAGAATTATTATTGAACACAAATCAGCCTTTATTATCTTTAAAGAAAAAGGAAATTATTTTTGAAGGTCAATACAGTTATTCAGGAATAAAAACTATAATTCAATACCTTGCCAAGTAACATGGATCCATTTTCTTTTGGGCTTGCCAAATGCGAAAAGATCCCTTTTTAAAACCACAATATAATGGAGTGCTATAATTTCAAACAGTGTTTGGTCTGCTGGCAGAGTGGTCATTCTAATAGCAGTCACAGTAGAGTAGAAATAAGACTGCAGTATATCTAAGGCAAAAAGCTGAGGTTTCAGGAGCTTGAAGGTAAAGAGGAAGAAAGAAATGGGGAACGGGAATTGGAAAGACAAATAAGGTTAAGAGAAAATTACTTTTAGGAGAGGGGAAAGAATCTACGTGTACTTAAAACTAAGGAATCAATCCCATTTAAGCTGAGAAACTCTAGTTTTGTATATAACCAATAGATTGTATTTGCAGAATATATATTTACCTGATCTAGGCTTCAAGCCAAAGGGACCATGTGAAAAAACATCAGTTCTATCATACTCCTAAAAACAAAAAACAAATAAAACCTTTTTTCTTTCAAAATAATCAAAGTAGTTACATCCATTCCAATTTTAAGAAGTATTTATTTTTTTCCATAATTAGTGGGGTAGAGAAAGGTAAGTTGCAGTTTAATTCAAATAGATAATGTTTCATTTTTAAAAGGTCTACAAATGTTTGCTAATTAACTTCTCTCTTAGTATAAGGGAAATGAAAGTTATTAAAGTGAATCAAATAAACATATACTCTTTTTTTGAATGAAGAATAAGATTAAAGTCTCCTGCAAAATGGAAAAAAGTTTCAATGAAAAGATAAGTGAAATTAGTGACACTTACTCAATATCTACTATGGACTTGACCCTTAGTGGAAAATCTGAGGCAAACATACACATTCAAACTAATAGTGGCTGCAGAGTGATAGATAATAAAGCATTATTTCTTCTATCTGAATTCACATTATTTCAAAGTGCTTTCAAACAGTAGTGCACTGTGTAAAGAAACATGGTATATTTAAAAAATCTGAACTTAGAGTCAGAAATTAGACTAAGTTTTAAGCAAAACATTTAATTTTTCTGTAACTATCCTTTCACCTTTAAAATAGGATGCTGTAAAAATTAACTGAGATAACTAAAAGAAAGCACTTTGCAAATTATAAAATGGAAAGATAATGAAATTTTAATAGCATCTTATTTAATCTGTACAACTATGAAGTTGTTAAAGAGTTTGGGCTTCAGTCAGTCCTCTACCATTTACTGACTGAAGTCTTTAGAAAAACTTATCACTCTTGAGCTGTAAAAGGATGAGGATAATATCCAGATCGTGGGACTGCTCTCAGGTTTAAATGTATAGGCAAGCACTTTGTTAATAGTAAAGCACTATACTAATTGTTTTTACCATTTTCCTTTCACAGATGAAACTGAAACAATCAGCATTCCGGTGACTCTCTTAATTTTCTGATTAACATGGGATAAGCAGTTCAAGTTGCACGTCAGTTGAGCTACCCAAATACATGCTCGCCACCTATTCATCCACAAGCCTGTTTGTCTTGATTATTTCAGTTAAAGTATTATGAATTTCCAGACAAAAATTTAATTTATTCAAATGTAAGGAAAATGTGTTATAGAAGCAATATAATTTATTTGAGAAGATTGGCACTGATCCTCTTCTCATTGAGCATAGCTCATAAAATCAGAAAAAAATCTAAGTAAATAAGTCATCACTTACATTTGTTATAACTGACTGTAAAAGAAAGGATTTACAAAAGCATGTTACAAAGACTAATTTTAGAATATCCCAATTTAAACTGTTTTGAAAAAGAATGTAAACCAGTTTACCTGCCATATATAAGTAGTTTAGAAACATGTTTATAAAACTAACATCTAAGTCCATCTTAAAGTTTTATAATGCAACTCACCCAAAACAATACACAAACAATTCTGGCTTTTAAAAAAACTAACACCACCTATATAAAATGAAATACTGTCTAATTAACCAAAATCATATTGTGATTTTGGATCATTCAAACATTTAGACAAAGTCCTGAATTCACCAAATAAATAAAAAATCATCTATTTACTAATGCCAGTACACTTTTAGAATACTAAGTAATCTGAAGTAGAAGAGCTATTGTTTAGAATTTTTAAAATTTATCTCATAACATATTAAAAGCAACAGGTTTAACTAAATTAGAAGAGTCAATCATTCAAACCAAAAGAATATTTGGTTGAGATCTCAGAAACTCTTAACTTTCATCTGCCCCTTCTCCCCATGCCCCCTCCTTAGGTCTAAGATGCTAGGAAAAGTGTACCCTCTTGTCGATAGGAACAACCCACTACAGGGATGTTTCTCGTGGAAAAAGGAAGTTTTTCTTGCATTGCTTTCAGACCTAATTGGTTATGAGAAAAACCAAAGGCCATTGCACAATGCTGAATGAAGTATTTTTTTCAAATTTAAAATCTGAAAGCTACTCTTGTCATTTATTTCAAAATATGGATGAATTATAAAACATAAAAATTTATAAAGTGAAATATTTCATGTGATCTATAGGCATTTTTCAATAAGTAATTTAAGTGATATTCATTATGAATATTTGTACCAAAATATGGTGTTCTTAGAAGTTTTTGTAGGCTAGTTTTGTACAAATTAACCTACTATGGATTTTTAAATATGGGTGAAAAAACTACATTTAAAAAAGAAAGATGAGGTTAGAGAGAATAGACAAAGAAAACCTATGTAAACACATTTAAAAACAGAACTTGTACCTCAGATGATACTGGCGATTGTGGTGACATATTAGCATTATCACTGCCTTGCTAAAATATAAAAATAAAAACATGAAACATGCAATTAAAATATGAATGATGATTCAGACATGTAAAAGGAAAACTGAAACTACTAAAGGAAGGATCTGGAAAATACCATCCACCACCTTGCCAAAGTGTGGTCTGTAGACCAGTAGCATCAGCATCCTCTGGGAGCTTGTTCGAAATGCAGAATCTCAGGCCCCACCCAAGACCTACTGAATCAGAATCTGTATTTCAGTAAAATCCCCAGGTGATTCATTAGCAATTTAAAGTTTTATAAGTAGTATATACTTACATCAAATATTTTCTTACAAGTTTATTTCCTTTAAATATCACAAATGAAAAACCTTTCTATATTTCTTAGAAAATACCCACATTTTAAGATTAATTCCTGATAAGAAATGGCAGCAATATGTTCCAGTGTGAGACAGACACAGGGATGCATGCAAAAATTCCATCACCCCAATAATAACATTTACCTGGAAAATTACGTTTATCTAACATAAGCTTAGAAATAATGACAAAGAATTGAACTGAATAAAATACTACTAAATGGTTCATGTTTTTTCTCAATGACTACTACTAAACAAATACAAAAATCTTAAAATTTAACCTTGAATATACACACAACATAGAGTATACATTCATCATCAACAAATGATTACTGACTGTCTACTATATGTCAGACACTGGTGCTAGACCAGGGGAATATTGAAACTTAGTAAAATATCATCCACTCAAGGATCTCTTAGTCTAGGGGTAAAATAGATTCATTTACAGAAGCAATACAAACGTCTCAGTACAATAATAGAGCATGCATGACGTATTATTAGACACAGATAAGGGACACTTGAGGAAATGGTGGTGCTGATAAGTAAAGAAAAGTTTCCTGAGAAACTAAAAAACTGAGTAGATGTTTAACAATATTCCAAGATGAGAGGACAACAAGGACAAAGGCACAGAAACAATAAATGTAAGGATGAGTGCAGAAAACCTTGTGCTGTGCTGTGCTTAGTAGGAAACCTTGTAGTTTTGTAATTTTGAAGAGTATGGTGAAAGGAAGGTAAATCATGAATTGAGGCTGATGTGGGAAGCTGAAGCTTGATTAAGAAGAACCCTGAATTTACCTTCTAAGTGATGAGGAGACAAAGGTTTCTAAGCAAGGGAATGGCCTGATCATATTTGCGTCATTTGAAACAATCATTGGCAGCAGAGAGGAAAATGGATTGGAGAAAAGGAGAAGATCAAGTATGCTATTGCAGTAGTACAGGCCAGAAATGATAAGGGCTTGTGCCAGAGCAGAAATGCAGGTGGGGAATGTATTCAAAATATTTCTGTATCCAAAAAAAAAGAGAGTAGGTTTTGGTAACTGATTAGTTATTGAAGCTGCTGCTGCTAAGTCGCTTCAGTCGTGTCCAACTCTGTGCAACCCCATAGACAGCAACCCACCAGGCTCCCCCGTCCCTCGGATTCTCCAGGCAAGAACACTGGAGTGGGTTGCCATTTCCTTCTCCAATGCATGAAAGTGAAAAGTGAAAGTGAAGTCGCTCAGTCGTGTCTGACTCTTCACGACCCCATGGACTGCAGCCTACCAGGCTCCTCCATCCATGGGATTTTCCAGGCAAGAGAACTGGAGTGGGGTGCCATTACCTTTTTCAAGATGTTGAAGCATGCAGGACCAAACCACTTTGGTTTTTTTATTAAACATAAAAAGGAACAAAGAAAGCATCCAAGCTGAACCTTTAACCTACAGTACAACACACACTTTTTGGGTGATTCTATATCTTAAAATTAAAGGAGTTTTCAGAAGTCCTGCCAAGTATTCAACATCAAATTAATTACCAATCTGTCCAAACAAAAATACATAGAGTTACTTAAGTATTTATGGTGATGAGACTGTATCATTTTAAAAATGCCAGGCTGTTGTATAAGTTAAAATGATGAGGTAGAAAAATTTACAGTAATGCTCAAACTGTAGAAATCTAATTTTCAATGTTAAAATAGTATACAGAGTTGTGAAAAGAGATTAATAAGTTTCAAAGGAAAAATCTCAATTGACCACCATGCTGATTTAAGAAGATAAAATATGCAAGAATTTTAATTACAGTTTTAATATGAGTGCTAATAAAATTCTAAGACCAAACTACTAGGAACATGTGGAAATTATATAATCAAATTAATAACAGTCTAATCATGCTAATTTTTTATTATTGGAGAAAACCCATGCATTAAATCAATAACAAGATGGATTATATTTTACTCTGATTGAGCCAATTACATATGAAAATAAATGTTTTAAATAATTGCTAATATTACCCTCTTTTCTCACCTCATTGTTTTCATTGCCACTTGAACTCTTCCTTGATGATTTATACTGAAAAATATTTAAAGCACATACTTTATTTTTCCTTGGACATGAATTCTCTAACTAGTAAATTATATATGAGGTTTACTCACATTTTGATACTTTTAAATTATCTAAATTATATGTAAAATGTAAACTGCATGTAAATATCTTTAAACTGTTTAATTTCATAACCATTTTAAACAGTCCTACTACTTACTAATAGTTAACACAAATAGTACTTTCTATATGCAAGGCATTGTTCTAAGTACACACATCAAGTAACATTTATTTCCTAAACCAATCTATTTCCCATTCATTCAGGTTTGCTGAGTCTTGTCTTAAATCCTCCTTTTTCTTAATCCACTATACACAAAACATCAGGTCAATTCTTTCTGAAAAGTCTCTCAGACTTCTGAATTCTCTCAACTATTAAACTATTAGTTTAATAGGCTTTATTACCTCATGCTTAGTCTGCAATCTCATTCAAAATGTCATTCATTTTTAAGAAACCTACTGATTTTAGGTTAAGAAATACTACATCACATGTATATATTGACTATACAATAATAGTAATAGTGATAATAGCTAACACTTATACTAGTGCTTACTATTAATATATACTTGGCACTGACTGAAGTGTGTTATACGTATGGACCCACCCACTTAATCTTAACAACTCTGAGGTAAATACTATTACCTCCATTTTATACAAGGAAGAGAGGTAATATGCTTAATATCACAAATGCTGGAATGTAAAAAAGTGCTTTTACTAGGATCAATAATCAAGGAAAGACAGTTTTGACAACCACTAAAGTTCTGATTCCTCGATCACAGAAATTTTCCTGCAAATAGTGGTAGATTGAGCTTTTTCAAAACACTAACTCTTCTATTGAAAAAAAAAAACTAATTTTCCAATTATGTCCAAATTTCTCTGCTGGCAATCAAGGTTCTATTTAATGTTCCCCTTTACTTATGCAGCATCATCTTCCATAACTCTTGGAAAAACAGATAACCTACCTGGTAACTCAACCACAAACTGGAGGATGAACAGAATCAGGGATTATAAATATAAGACCTAAATTCCTCTACTGTCTCTCCTGTGGCTTACAAAAACTATCAGTAACTACCAAGGTGTTCTTTGCAGCCAATCCCAGACAAAGCCTCAATACACTTTCAACCCAATCTTCCAGATAGCCATCGAACAGCACTGGCATGTGTGAATAAACCTATTTTCCACCCTTCAGCATGATGTCACTGATGGCACTTGTTCTATTTCAATAAAAGAGTGACACTTGGTGAGTGAACACCAGGACCCCAAGATAGCATCAGTCATATGATTGAAGAAGAAGAAACTCATGACATCAAAACAGGGGAACTTCCCAAGCTTGTTACTGCTGAAAGATTTCACCTCTAAAGGCACTGTTGAAGAGTTTCAAAAAGGTTACTACAAGCATTACAAGCATGTCGCTGGAGTTTCTATGCTTAGGTGCTTTTCAGTTACTGCCTTTCTTAAAAGGAACTCAAACATGATCATTTATGCAAGTACCCACTGAAAAGCACACAGACTGCATTCCTGACCATGACTACCTTTGCCCAACAGCCCTGATAATTGCTGAATCCTTTCATATTTTAATTGAGAATTAATATCTGATAAAAGATGACTAGTAGAAAAACAAACTAAAAATAAAATAATGACATTTTAGTAAATAATAAGCTAATTAAGTCTGGAGAAATACATACAGAAATCTGTATGCAGGTCAAGAAGCAACAGTTAGAACTGGACATGGAACAACAGACTGGTTCCAAATCAGGAAAGGAGTACATCAAGGCTGTATATTGTCACCCTGCTTATTTAACTTATATGCAGAGTACATCATACATACTGTACATCATACAGTACTTCATCCAGGCTGGATGAAGCACAAGCTGGAATCAGGATTGCCAGGAGAAATATCAATAACCTCAAATATGCAGATGACAACACCCTTATGGCAGAAGGTGAATAAGAACTAAAGAGTCTCTTGATGAAAGTGTAAGAGTTGGCTTAAACCTCAACATTCAGAAAACTAAGATCATGGCACCTGGTCCCATCACTTCATGGCAAATAGATGGGGAAACAATGGAAACAGTGACAGACTTTATTTTCTTGGGCTCCAAAATCACTGCAGATGGTGACTGCAGCCATGAAATTAAAAGATGCTTGTTCCTTGGAAGAAAAGCTATGACCAACCTAGACAGCATACTAAAAAGCAGAGACATTACTTTGCCAACAAAAGTCTGTCTAGTCAAAGCTATGGTTTTTCCAGTAGTCATGTATGGATGTGACAGTTGGATCATAAAGAAAGCTGAGCACTGAAGAATTGATGCTTTTGAACTGTGGTGTTGGAGAAGACTCTTGAGAGTCCCCTGGATGGCAAGGAGATCCAACCAGTCAATCCTAAAGGAAATCAGTGCTGAATATTCATTGGAAGGATTGATGCTGAAGCTGAAACTCCAATACTTGGGCCACTTCATGCAGAGAACTGACTCATTGAAAAAGACCCTGATGCTGGGAAAGATTGAAGGCAGAAGGAGAAGGGGACAACAGAGGATGAGATGGTTGGATGGCATCACTGACTCGATGGACATGAGTTTGAGTAAGCTCCGGGAGTTGGCGATGGACAGAGGAGTCTGGCGGGCTATAGTCTGTGGGGTTGCAGAGTCAGATACGACTGAGCGAATAACACACACACACACACACACACAAGCTAATTAAGTATACACTATGTGGCAAGTACTGTTTTAAGCACTTTACATTATTCATTAAATAATTCATTATTCATTAAGTAATTCAGTAGTTATAATAATCCTGTGAAGGAAGATACCAATAGAGTCATTTGAAGATAAAAAAGAAGAAGCTCAGCAAGATTAGGTAATTTACCAAATTTTACCAAATTTACCAGTCACTCAATTAGTAAGATATCTAAGTGAGCACTGGAACCAAAGTGGTTTGATTTCTGAGGACAAGGCTCTTAACCACTATGCTATACTCTCATCCCTAAATCCTAAATGATTAGTAGAGATTTTTCAGGAATAAGAAAATGAGCATGCTCAGAAGAAGGAGAGCACAAAGAAAAAAAGTTCAGTCTAGGAAAAATTCAAAGAGTTGCTAATGAGACTATGTCAGGTAATAGCACTTAGGTAAAGATGGACATGATGTTTTCTTCTTTTTTTTTTTTGGACATGATGCTTTTCAAAAGTCCAAATTTTGTTATTGATAATGGGGAGCCAATAAAGAATTTTAAGCCAGGGATTTCTCTACAAACTCTTAAACGTGAGAAAGCAGAACCATTAAGAAGTTATTATTAACACAACTGCCCATAAAAGAAAGAATATGGGTTCCAACACAAGCAAGGGCAGTAGCTATGGAGAAGAGGTAATGAACTGGAGAAACATGTATAGTTAGCATTCTGGTGAACAAGTAGGTGAGGAGAAAGAGCAAGTTCAAGGAGGACTGAGGTACACAGCTTAGAAAACTGGGTGGGTAATACTGCTATTAACTAAAATAAAGAATAGAGAGGAGGAGCAAGTTCCATGGTGGTGGATTGAGACAGGGAAACACGGTGAATTTGAAACACATGGTATCCAATCAATTAGAAACACAGGTACAGAGACAAGTGAAAAAAAAGTTACGAGATGTAAATTTAGACCCAGGAGAATATGAGACATCTGAAATCATAAGAGCTTCAGAGAGAGTAAGGAAAGAGGATGAGACCCTAAGAGCAAGTAGGAGAAAAATCAGAAGAAAAGTTAGCCAGGAGTATCAAAAAGAAAAAAGAATCAGGAAAGGAAAATGAGGAAGAAACCAAGCAAGGGGTTTTGAGAAGAAAGATGTCTCATCACTGTGAAACGCTGCACTGAATTTTGTTTGCTGTTAGTAGGTATGTTACACTCCAGTGAGGCTATTTCAGAGAAGGCAATGGCAACCCACTCCAGTACTCTTGCCTGGAAGATCCCATGGACGGAGGAGCCTGATGGGCTGCAGTCCATGGGGTTGCTACGAGTCAGACACGACTGAGCGACTTCACTTTCACTTTTCATTTTCATGCATTGGAGAAGGAAATGGCAACCCACTCCAGTGTTCTTGCCTGGAGAATCCGAGGGATGGGCGAGCCTGGTGGGCTGCCGTCTATGGGGCTGCACAGGGCCGGACATGACTGAAGTGACTTAGCAGCAGCAGTGAGACTATTTTAATGGAGAAATGGAAGTAAAAGCTGTACTGCATTGAGTTAAGTGAAGTGAAAGTCACTCAGTCGTGTCCGACTCTTTCGGACTCCATGGACTGTAGCCTGCCAGGCTCCTCTGTCCATGGAATTCTCCAGGCAAGAATACTGAAGTGGGTTGCCATTCCCTTCTCTAGGGGATCTTCCCAACCTAGGGATCGAACCCAGGTCTCCTGCATTGCAGGCAGATTCTTTATCATCTGAGCCACCAGGGAAGTCCAAGAATATTGGAGTGGGTAGCCTATCCCTTCTCCAAGGGATCTTCCCGACCCAGGGATCAAACCGGGGTCTTCTGCATTGCAGGTGGATTCTTTACCAGCTGAGCTACCAGGAAAGCCCACAGTGAGTTAAGGAGTGATCAAAAACTGCAGATCTAGAAAAGCCAAGTTTGGTCCCAGAAGAAAGCAAAGAAACAAGGCAACAGCTGAAAAGGGAATCAGGGATAATGGTAGAGGTCTGAGCATATTTATAAGATGGAAGGTAAAGAGACAGGACATAGAAGAGTAAGCAGATAATTGATAAAGCAAAGAAACAGAGGATGATGCAGTCAAAAACTCGATGAGACTTGCATTATTGTTACTCAATTACTATTCTAATTTAAAATATCCATTATACACAAAAACTTAGAAAGATACTTGTTTTGCATTACTGTACATATTTAAAGATCCTAAAACCCAAATCTGAATATATACATAGATTTAAAATATTCTGTAAGTCCAAATTCTTACTAATTCACCTCAGCTGTCCTCAATTAATATTAGTTTGAAAAACTGAAGTTTCATTAATTCTAAATTAAAATACTATGCAATAAAGGCCTATTTAAGAAACACAAAGATCAGTTCGTTCATCTCTGAAGCTCATATTAACTTCACAGGAAAGACAGTACTTGTGCACAAACTGACTCAGAACAAATCAACTCATTTCACAAGCCCAGCTGGCTTCCCTATTCTGTTATACAGCTAAACACAGTCAGAGAAAATACACGAAAATATTTTCCTTCAGGTTAAGCCTAATTAAAATATCATACTATATTTACAAAATTAAATAGGTATTCTAAGAGTCATAATGCTTTATCACAAAAGTAATCAGATACATTTGAAGACAAATATATATATGGCATTTAAATAAATCAAATAATCTTTAAAACGCACAGTTATCTAGTGTTTTTAACTTTATTTAGAAAAGAATCATCAAATGCATTTAGAAATTTGTATTGTCATTCCTACAAGAAATGAAAGCAACTAATTTACATTGAACATTATCAACAAAAGGTTAGATTTTCATACTTTGTTTATATACTAATAAATTTCTCTAAGTTTTTTTTAAAGTAATGTATTTTCTGGAATACCTTTACTTTGAGAAATGCGGTGATTTTATTTCAGCAACAATGACATTAAATTTTATTTACTAGAATAGTAGTCTAAACAAGGGTGGCCAAGAGTCTAAAAGAGTTAACATAACTCTCCTACAATGATCTACTTACTCATATAGTTTGACCTAAATTATCTTCTTACTCACATCATCTGGCCAATTATGTTGAAACATTTTTTTAATTTTGTTTCAGGGGCTTACCTGAAAAACATACCTCCCCAAATCAGTCCTAGCAACTAAGAAACCAGAGAGCTAGAGTTTATACACACACACACATTTTCAATAAATCTCCTAAATAACAGCACCATGAATAATTTATCATGGGACACAAACAATGAAATACTGTGGTTCAGTCATTTATATGTGCTGGGGTAAAGTTACACAAAAGTTCTATGTTTCATTACAAAGCAAAGTTAAAGGAGCCATCACTGAGTGAGCTTAGTGATAATTTGATATGTATCTCTAGAGTAGTATACATTAACTGTATATCCAAATTAAATTCAATATTGTATCTTATGAATAAGCCTTTTGATTCCTGAGGGATAAGTGATTAAAAGATATTTTCTTTTTGAAAGAAAGATACTTCACAGAAATTGATGATATTTTAATCATGAAAACATTGGCAAATCTGAATAACACTTTTGACTTCACTTAGTAGTATCTCAATTTTACAGTTTTTTAACATCTTAGGAAAAAATTGTTGACATTCAATTTTTTACAGTGTCCTAACACTGACATCTTCTGACTATTGAGGAGAACTACATATCTGCTTAAAACATTTCCCAGTTGAAGCTTATCTTTGCACCTATTTATTAACTATAGTAAAAATTCACATTTGTTGAATGATGATTATGGACTCTTCAAATATTATCTCATTTGATCCCTTAGCAACTTATAAAATGGTAACATTATGGAAGGTATACTTAAGCCATAGAAAACAAAATATTAAACAACAAATTATTCTAATTAAATCAAACTATTTTTTAAGGTTCACTGAGGCTTCTATTAAGATTTTTATTGAGAATTTTATTTGAGTTACAATAAACTTAAAAAAAAACCAAAAGTGTTCATTTGGTATTAGGCTATCCACAGTAGATCAACAGGCAGCACAGCATAGGCTCTGGGTTCAATGAACTCAGACGTTTATTACCCTAAGTGACCTGGAGCATATTACTTAGCCTCTCTGTGCCTTAATCTGCCCATCTATAAAGTAAACATGGTAATAAACGTACTTACTCATAGGGTTATTATAAAGATTAAATGAATTGATATTTGTAAAGTAAGTACTTAGAACAGTGCCTGGCACTTACTAACTGCCATATATAAGTATTTTGACAAACAGAATCTGTATGCTTTTACTATACTAATAGATCAAATAAAAATCAAATCTTTTATTAGTTAAAAATATTAAAATTTATACCACATCATCAGTTATTCATTAAGTTTTATCTGTTAACAAATTTCCTTTAGTGCCTTTGTTCAAGTTCCATAAACAAAAAGAGGGGATTTTAAATTAATAAATGCCAGAATGTAAATATAACTGCAGATTTGTAAAGGGTATTGACCAGGGTTCTAACTAGAATGTCTTTCCCTTTTTCCCTGTGTCTTTTATTTCTTCATTATCTCTCATATTGACCAGGTAACATGAGGCTCATTAAAAGGATCCAGTAATTATTTATTGATGACGTAAACTTACACAGACTAAGACATATAACATTTTTGTTTTGGGCATATAATACTACTTCCAAATATATGTTACACATCCATAAAAGGAAAACTGATCAATGTGCATAGAGATCCACTTTCATCAAACTGATAACAGCATGAAATAAGAACTATGTACTTATATATGTATTTATTATTAGACAAAATTAGGTTAGGGGAAACAGAAAAAGTCCACAAAGACAACAAAATTTGCTGAATAGAGCAGGAACTTCTTTTCACTGTTCATTTGAATCAGAAATTCCAATAACAAATTCAAGAGTACTCCAATTCTAATGATTGGTCACTACAAATATAGCAGACCTGAATCACAAATAGACAAAAAATATTATAATGTTTAGGAAGGTGTACACAATGAAATTTCATTAAAATTCTGCTAACTAGAAATTTGAGATAATTCAGATGGCCCGAGCCTTTAATTGAGCCAAGACAAACACCATCCTAAGAAATATATTAAGGTAATAAGAAAATGGGGGAGAAGCTTTTTAGAATTATGTAAATAGCATTTATTTACACTGAAACAGTTAAATGCTAATTGTGAAAATTTGTCAACTCTTTATTGAAACAAACTCAAAGAAAGACCTTTTTGGGGCAATTCTTTTAAAACATTATTACATATTGCTACAACAAGCAGTGTAGTAAACATTCATACTTCTTGTAAAGTATCTGGCAAATCACAATTCACACTGATCTAGTCTTAATTATTTTGAATTGCTGAAATTTTATGGAAATAACTGGATCATATAATTATCCCACATACATGTAGGAAATCAAGATAAAATAACACATCTTCTATATTTAGCTAGAGAGTTATATTCTGTCATACTAATGTAAAACAAAATGGATAAAATCAAAACTAATAATTACAAAGTACATTTTATAATTGAATAAAGTACCTTGAAATATTCTTTTCTAATTTGTTTGCTCCTCCTCCTTTCTTCACTCTGCCAGATTATAGGGTGAGATTCTGGCCATTGCTGCTCATCTGTTTGATCCTTTTGATTTTCTAAGGTCTGTAACAAGATAATTTCTTTTAACGAAATAAATGAGAAAAAAAATTAGATATAACAGCAATTTAATTTCTTCTTACCTGCCATATGAGGGGTGAATTAACTTCATCTGCTGAGACACTAAAAAATTAAAAATGTCTTAATATTTAAAATATTTAGAATTACTCTTATTATACATTATTAACATTATAAAGTTATCATTTTTTTCTTTTTACCAGAAATTTTAAGAATTTACCCATGCCTATGCTTTGAACTAATAACATAAAACTTTTACAAAACATATTCAATTCCAAATAACTTATAATCCTTTGAAAAACATCAAAATGCATTTATTATTTAATAACACCCTACGCATTGAGCTACTCTAAGGACTTTTGAACCCAAAAGAAATGTAGTATCTAGTCAAAAAATATTATAGATATTTATTATATTAATTCATTACCAAAGACTAAAAAAAATACAATTACTTTAGACGATCTGCTTGAAACTTCAAGTGACCTAACATAATTGAAGTTCCAAAATAATATATGCTATGTGATAGGAAAGATAAAGATAAATAAAGACTTCAAATTTTCAAATTTCATGAAAACAATAAACACACAAATTTGAGAAGCACAATGAACTTCAAGCAAAAAAAATGAATACTACAATAAGATACATCACAATTAAATTTAAAACAAATGATAAAGATAAAATGTAAAAAGCAGACAGAGAAAAAAATACACATTAGGTTCAGGGAACTGACAAGAGAGTTCTCACAGGAAACAGCACAACCCAGAAGACAGGGGAAAAACCTCTTTAAGGTACCAAAAGAAAACAAAATTATCAAATGAGAATTTTATACTAGCAAAGATATCTTTCAAAAATGAAAGTGAAATACTTTTTTTTGGCCACACCACATGGCTTATGGGATCTTAATTCCCTGCCCAGGGGTTGAACCCAGCACCACAGCAGTGAAAGCACCAAGTTCTAACCACTTGGCAACCAGGGAATTGGCAAGACTTTTTTAAACATTACAGAAACTGAAGGATTCAACATCAGCAGACCAGCAGTAAAAGTAATGTGAAAATAGTTCTTTCAGATAGAAGGAAAATGATATACACGGAAATACAGAGCTACACAAAGGAACTAAGGCTACTGGAGATGGTAACTAACGGGGTAAAGATAGAAGACATTATTCTGATTATTTAAATCTCTTTAAAGAAACAATTGACTATTTAAAGCAGGAATAATAACAATATGTAATATGTTAACACAGATGTAAAACGTATGGCAACAATACTGCAAAGGCCAGAAGGGAAAAAATAGAAGTATACTCTTGTTCTTATCCAATATACATAATGGCATAATAGTACTTAAAGGTAGACTGTGATAAATTAAATATACTTTAAACCCTAAAACAATCACTAACATAACAACTAGTTATGTCTAATAAGCCCACAATGGAGATAAATAGGAATTTTTAAATATAATTCAAAAGACAGGAGAAAAAGAGGAAAGATATCTAAAAATAATGCATAAGACAAAAAGTAAACACCTAATAATACAGTAGACTTAAATCCATTAATACCAGTAGTTTCAATTAAATATTAAAAATCTTAATGTTGCAATTAAAAGTCAGATTGTCAGATTTGATAGAAAAGAAAGATACTACCATATGCTAACAACAAGAAACTGCCTTTCTCCATAAAGACACAAATAGGTTAAATATAAAAGGAAGAAGAAAGATATATCAAGTAAACACTAAAAAAGAAACTAAACTAGAAGAAAGCTGAGGTGACTATACAATATCAGGGAAGTATACCTCAGAGCAAAGAATATAAACAGGGGACTTCCCTGGCAGTCCAATGGTTAAGAGTCTGCATCTCTTGAAGGGGGCATGGGTTTAGTCCCTGATTGAGGAACTAAGACCCTGTACACCACACACAAAAAAGCCACCCTAACCAGGAATATTTAAAAAGTCATTTTATAATGACAAGGATGTAAATCCAACAAAAGGACATTATAATCCTAAACATTTATGTATTTAATAACAGCTTTAGAATATATGAAGGAAAAATGAAAGAACTTTAAAGAGAAAGACAAATCCACAGTATTGGAAATTTCAAATAGTCTCCTCTTATTAATTGATAAAAACAACACTGTAATGCACCCAAGTGGTGGTGGGGCAGTGAAGACAAACAATGAACAAATAAAGAAGTCTGAGATATAAATAATAAAGTACTGAGAATGTCAGATGGTAAAAAAGTATACATTTACAATGTCAGACAGTACTAAGTTCTGTGGAGAAAAGTAAAGCAGGGTATGCGAAAAGGGAAGAAGGAATGGGGAAGGGATGCTCTTTTATCTAAGTTGTCCAGGGAATATCTTGCTGAAGAAATGAAAGTTGAGCAGAAACATAAACATAAGGGAATAAGCCATAAGGTTTTCTGAGAAGAAATCATTCCAATCGAGGCAAAAGCTTTGAGGGGGTGGGAAACTTGGTGTATTGGGAGTCAACAAGGAGGCCAGTATAACTAGAGAAGACCTAACAAGCAGGAAGAACAAGGCAAGAGGAACGCAGTAGGGAGCCAAATAATGCAGAGGTTCACAAGTCCTTAAAGGACCCTAGTTTTTATTCTGAATGAAATGGGAGATCATTAGAAAATTCTGAAGAACAACATGATGTAACTTACATTTTAAAAATACCAATCTGATTCTTCTTCTTCTTTTTTTTTTATTGAAAACAGACTAGAGAAAAGCAAGGGTGGAAAGGAGACTTAGTAGAAGGCTGCTATAACTGAAGTAAGAAATTTCTAGGGCTGGGATGGTAGGTGTGGAGGTGGTAAGACATGATCAGATTCTGAGCATATTTTGAAGGTAGAGTCAACAGGATTTGCTAAAGGATTAGTTATGGGATGTGAAAGAAAGTGACAAGTTACAGATGACTCTGAGGTCTTTGAGCTGAGCAAGTATTAATAGAAGGATGGAGTTGACATTTTCTGAAATGGGGACAATGCAAGAAGAGTTAAGTTTTGAGGAACAAAGAGAATGATTAAAAGTACTATTTGGGAAGGTTAAGTCTCATATGCATCATACATCCTAGCAGAGCTGTTGAGTACGTAACAGGCAATACAACTCTGCTGTGTGTGTGTATGTATGTATATACATACATATGTACACAGAAATACACATGCACATGCAAATGTTCATACATATATATAGAAAACTGGTTTAAAGGGGAAAATATCAAAATATTAAGACTTGTCATCTCTGGGGAGTAGGATAATAGATGATGTTTTTTTTTTCTTTATAAAATTTTCCAATTTTTAAACAATAAAACTACATTATTCTTATAAACAGAAAAAAAACTAAAATTTTGTTTTGTGTTTAAAGAAGAAATTAGATGACTGTTCTGAAAATGAGAAAAGTGAAAGTAAGAGTTCTGTAAAGAAAAGGCCAAGATTGAATATCACCATTTTGAAGTTTGGGTAATTGGGGCTTTCTTAAGAGAATGTTAGGAACCTGGTGAGGAAGCTTAAGATAGAAATGAAAGAAACTGACAATATATGGCAAAAACTACTACAATATTGTAGTAATTAGCCTCCAATGAAAATAAATTTAAAAAAGAAAGAAACTGAGAAGGAAGGTAATAACAGAAATTTCAAGGACAAAAAACATGTAAGATAAAGAATCAGTATTCACAAAGGGAGAGAGCGGGTTAAATCCAGTTTAATGCAGGAGATATAGGAGATGAGGGTTCAACCCCTGGGTCAGGAAGATCTCCTGGAAGAGGAAATGGCAATCCATTCCAGTATTCTTGCCTGGAGAATCCCATGGACAGAGGAGCCTGGTGGGCTACAATCCATGGGGTCACAAAGAGCTGTACATGACTGAGTAACTGAGCACACACATGCACACAAATGAAATTTGAGACAGATGAATGTTTCTAGACTTGGGTATAAAAAGTTATCTTATGCTTGAACTGAATTCTAAAAGCCTAAGTGAAAAACGGAAGAAGAAGGGGCAATCTCAGCAGAAACATCAGGACATAGAACACAGAGATGTGAAATCATGTTGGAATAAAGGAAGGAGTACTATGGTTCCTAGCTGTAAAAGGTGCCAGTGCAAGAGTACACAGGCTGAGGCTTTCAAGCTAGGCAGAAACTCACTTCAATCTTGTGGGTTAAGCCAAACATTTTAAGGTTTATCCTAAAAGTTATAAAAAGAAGATTAATAACTTGGAAACACATAGTCAGGCCTGTACTTTAGAACCATCACTCTTATACCATTAGCACAGAAAACAAATTTAAAGGTAGGCCAAACTTGAGAAATGAGGTATGGCTGCAAACTGTTGCAGTAGTCCAGGTAGAAAAGACAGGGCCTAGGCCAACATAACTGCAACAGGAATGGAGAGGTTGAGACAGATGCAAATAATGTTAAGAAGCTAAAGTTTTCTGTGACTGACTGTATTGGGAAGAATGTGTAAGAGAAAGCAATTTCCAATGATTCCAAAGTTGACTATACACACAGTGGCACATTCACTCAAGGTGCACTACACAGGAGACGAAACAGATTTGGGAAAAGTAAGTCCAGTTTGGATTGTAAGGTAGTTTGGAAAAGACATCAATGAAAGGTATGCATCTGGAGAAAGCGAGCTGTTCTTATTTCCATATATTAAAAGTTGGGGTTTTGAAGTCAGACATCCTGGCTTTAAATTCTCACTATATCATTTACTAGCGTGTGACCCTGAATAGCTATGGCAATTTCTGAGCCTTAGTTTCTCACCTATAAAATGAGGATATAATAGCAACCACTTCATAAGTTATTATGAGGATTAGATGAGATCATACAGCTAAAGCACTAAGAATAGTATACATACAACAACCATTCAACAAACGTTAATTCTCTCTGTGTGTTATTTGTACCCACAGCCTAGCCTTTGACTTTTATATTCCCATAGGAATAACTCAGAAGTTGAGTTTGGTGCAAATTTTCAAACCACCAAAAAGAATAAATAGAAACTTTCAAGGTCTTCCAGTTCTCTGGAATTCATATACCTGGATTTAGACTATGCATTCATATAGAAGAATTGAATAAAACCTAATTAAAAAGAAATTAAAAAGTGAACTATAACATAGAGAATACAATCAATGATAAACACATTATTCCTGACGATAATAGTAATAAAATAAATGTCTGCTAAATGGATAAACATTGAGAGCAAGAGGAGAAGAAGGTGAGAGGATGAGGTGGTTGGATAGCATCATCAACACAATGGACATGAGTCTGAGCAAACTCAGGAAGATAGTGAAGGATAGGAAAGCCTGGTGTACTGCAGTTCATAGCATTGCAAAGAGTAGGACATGACTTAGCGACTGAACAACAACAAATGGATAAATGATTCTGTCATCAAAACAAAATGCAGGTGAGAGCACAAAAAGTTTAAATCAGCATTCTTGCATTTGTTTACATCAAAAGTAAATTTAACTTGTGTTGTATAATACATTAAAAAAAACATTTAAAAGCCATATTCTTTAAATTATCTCATTATATTAAATTGATATCAACTATTCTATTAACTTGTGTTGTATAATACATTAAAAAATGTTTAAAAAGCCATATTTCTTCTTTAAATTATCTCATTATATTAAATTGATATCAATTATTCTATTAAAGCCTACATATAGGAACATTACTGTCAAAGGATCAGCTCTCATTATATAATATTAACCATAAGAACTAAGATATTTTTATACCTCTTTTCGCATTCCATAGTTTGTTTTGGCTTGTTTCTTATGACATAAGTTGAATGATTAAGAATCCTAGAAGTAAATCAGCACATTAATTTCATAATATATTAAAGAGAATAGTGTATATACATGATATAAAAATGTCCGATAACAAACTGCATCTGGTCCATGAAGATCTTTGCTAGAAAACAATATTTAAATATTATTTAGATCAGATGCCCATATAAGCTCACTGGCTATTATGAAGGAATGAAGCTCACCAATTCTTCCATGCATTTTCTTTTATAAACCCTTTCTCGAGGCTTGGATATTTTCCAGCCATGTTATTTTCCTGTGCATATCTAACTTTTAGCTGAGACAGAAGATAAAGAGATGCAGACTGTGTATGTATCATCATAACTGATTTCATTTCTCCCAGCATAGCAAATGATAAGGCCATGTCAACATAATAAACAATCATTTTGCCAAATAATAAACCTTAATTCCCAATGCAAAGCCAGTGCTAAAGTTCAATTCTTTAAAAAAATCCACAAGTCTATAAAACTTTTAATAACAGAATGAAACAATATATTTGAAGAAAATCAAAAAAAGAAAGAAAAATAAAGTGATAAACCATTACATGAGAGAACCATTTGTTCATAATTTTATATAATTCTAAGTATTGATCTCAAAGTCAAAAGCAATGAATAATAAACTATCTTTAATATAAGTAACTAATATATTTGAGTTCTTAATATTTATCTATTTACTACAGATATAAATGTTAATTTTCAATTTTAAAGTTTAGTTTTATAAGGAGTAGAATATCTACCTTTTATTCAAAATAATATAATCAGATGTCAACTACCAAAAGAATACACAGGAGAATTTCAAATTAAAGATACATATTGACTATTAAAATATATAATGAAATAAATATAAGTTGGTAATTCCAGAAAGATGGTTTCATAAAGAAACCAATTTCCATTACCCCAGTTTTTCTCACTAGCTAAGATCTAGTAGAGCCTCAACAGGAGGAAGCTACAGTGAGAGGCAAACAACAAGTATCACACACAAAGCAGTGTAGCTTTGCACCAAGTAATTTCTAGATTACTGACACCTTCATTCTTTGTGTCGACAGGCACTAAAATTGTATTGAATCCCCAAATGCAGAGGAATTTAGATAATAAAATATCTAAGAACATCAGGAAAAAATACATCATTAAAGAGTAATTTTTTAAAAAGGAAGTGAATCCTAAGAATTCTCTTCACATGGAAAAATATTTTTCCTGTTTCTTTAGTTTTGTGTATGAGATGATGGATGTTCACCAAACTGCTTATGATAATGATTTCATGATTTATGGAAGTCAAATCATTATACTGAACACCTTATACAAGACTGTATGTTAATGATATCTCAATAAAACTGAAAGAGTAAAAAATTTATTTAAAAAGGAGATGTATCCGTTTTAGCACTGCAAAGTATCCTGGGGGAGTGGGAGGGTCAGAATTATTCCTTTGGAAGGGGGCATCAAACTACAATGCCCTCCACTGCAGTAAATTCGGAATTCTCCCCAAACTACACACACTAGTGTTGTGACTATTGATGTGCATGTGCATTGTTGTGACATGTGATGTGCATGAGTCACGTTAGAGGAGAAAGAAAAATGTTGAGCTCTACTTACTGATAAAATATGTTTTATGTACTTGAAAATTCTCTGAAAAATTTTACTGTGTACATTGATATTTAATGTTTTACTGTGTGATACTCAGAGTCAAAATAAATGTCTATTTTATCTAAATATCTATTCCAGATTATTAAAACACTTCCCTAATCCAGGTACTAGTACTGAATTTTAGGTAAAAAGGTATATATATAATTCAGCTGCATCAACCTTGCCACTTAATACTTAAGGCGTCCACAAACTCTAGATACCTTGATGCACGTCCTGCTGCTCTGGTCCTCTGGAAGAATTTTTCACTGAATGATGCTCTATAACATAAAGGCCTCCGTCTGTATTCATATTTCACGTACATCAACCAAACCAAAAGATGGAAGAAGTAAGATGTTTTGGGAGAGGATAGGGAAGTCATTAGTAAAGCAAGCAGAAAAGAAAGAATGGATAGATTTTAAGGGTTGAGAGAACTACCTAGTTAGTTATAACAAGCTAGAAGTTAACATGATGCTCCTCAAATTTAGAGTTCATATGATCAGAAAAAGAAAAAAATCACATGAAAAAGTAATGTAATAATTTCTATAATTCAAAACTAAAATAATAAACTGCTCAAAATCTGATTTTGCTTTATGTGATCCTTAATTAATTATACTTCAATATAACTTTTCATAATTACTTTTTAAAATTTAGCTATATTACATAGTACTCAGAAGTACATCTTTCCACAGTAAGTAAAAACTCTCAGGATACACGTAAAAGCAAATCAAATAATTATTAAAAACAAATATGTATTAGAAAATACTACAGACTAAGCTAACAGGAATGAACATGCTATGGGAACCAATCAACTGAAGCTATTCATTGCAAAATTCTTCATATAATCTTTTCTTTAGCATGAAAATCAAATTTTAAGAAGCCAGCTAAACATTTACTTAATAAGCCACATAGTAAGAAAATCAGTATAAGAAAGAGCAGTAGCCACTTCTCTAATACTAAGATACATAAGTAGAGTTGGTGAAAATTTGAAGAATTGGTTAAATAATTTACAGAGCAATATTATTTTAAGATAATAGTTTTTTATTTAACTTCCAAAATTATAGTAAAAATAAAATTACGATTTGTGGAATAGCTATTTTAATATAGACAAGGTCACTGACTCAAGGGGACTTCAATACACTCAAATACAAGTAAAAATAATTCAATCTTTTAAGAAAGAGGATAAAGATTAGCTTTAAAAAATTTAACAATAAACTGTCAATACAAAGTAGTTTAATATATGCATCTCAATTAGACAAAGAAGGGCAGTCTTCTAAATAACTAGGCTTCAGACTCTGAACACTTATGATTTATCTATTTGATGGTTTACTTGGTGATCTCTTTTCCCACCCTTTTTGGTTATTAATTCTGTGCAATATTCTCTTGTTATTTTCCTAGGATAGTTTCATCCACCAAGTACTAGTATAAACCTTATTAAAGAATTACATATATTTTTTAAAAAATAGTGTGAACTAAAGTGGCAAAGCTGCTCTAAGAAAATCATCACTGAATTCAACATAAGCTGTTTTTAAATTCCTTCTAATTTTGAAGAACAATGTCTGGCTTCTTTTAGATTTAGCTGAGAGTTAACACTGAATTTACTTTCCACTAATAGCTAGCTAAAGAACAGCTAAATAGTAAGCATACAGTCAAAGTAGAAATCCTAAGTGGTACTTTTTGCTATATAAGAATAATCTTACCCCAGATAAATTATTTTAAATCAAGACTAACAATAAATAGACAAAGACACTGAAATGATTATATTAAAACTTAACAAGAAATATTACAACTTATGGTTGATTTGCAATTTTAAATAGCATTTAAGATTCTTCATTTAATAAAGCTAGAATCTAAAACAATACACTGTGAAAGGGGAAATCTACAACCAGAGAAGGTATAAAAACTCAAATCCTCTAAGGAATATATTCTTTTAAAAGATTACTTTTGACTTTTAGACTCACTCAAATTTATGTGTTGTAACAGTAAACAACAATTTTAATTATCTAAATCTAAGAAATATAAACAATAGCAGGATATTTTAGAAGGAAGGATGATATGATTTAACGGAGAAAATAATAGATTCAGCATAAGAAAATTCTGAGCCCAGTTTAAGTTTAGCCATGAACAGAATTGGCTAGGGATCTAAATTGTCTATAGATTACACATTTTAAAAGTAAAATGTACTCCTTACTTTATGACCAGATATCACAAAATTTTAATGCCTTCAAAAATTAAACATAGTTATTATAATGTTAATGTCACTGATTATTAATCCAAAAAGCTCTTATAAATATATGCAAAATATATAAATTTATATGCACTAACATCTGTAAAGGAGAATGGAGAGACAGTTCAGAGAAATAAATTAATTTTGCATAAATTTAAAAAATGACAAAAATTATGTAGAGGGAACATAACTAAATTAATGGTTCCTACTACCTTTAAATTTGATCTCATTTTCAAGTAATTAACCAGTAAGGGTATTAACGGATACCTACTATGTACAAGGCAGAGCTAGGTACTGCTTTGTACTTATTACAAACTATCAAAAAGCAAGACCTATGAAACATCATTTGATGTATTTAGGTTGAAAGAGTAATTTAAGTCAGAGGGATAGATGTAAAACTAATACAACAATAGGAGAAAACTGAAAATATAGAAATGATATATATGGCTATAATAAATTCTAAAATTATACACTCAAATGCAATTCTGGACATGAGGGAAATACATATTGTTGTGGGTTCTTATAAAATCAATATTATCTGTTCATAATGATAAATGCAATTTTTTCACCTGCCAAGTAGGGGAGGTAGAAACTTAACTATTTTTTAAGCTACATAGAGCAGGTGGTGGCTTGCTTCATCCAACCTCTTAAACCAATGGGGCCATCAATACTTTAATTATACTGAAGGGGGAAAACACATACAACCTCATAAGTAGTCAATTTTTAAAAAGGCCCATTAGAAATGAATCACAGGAAATATTAGAAGATAAGCTTCAAAAAGGATGACAGAAAAGCATGACAGAAAGTTATGACAGAAGAAAAAATGTCAATTGGGAATGAGGATACATTAGATATAGAAGGGATAAAGATATTTTCTAGTATGGTTTTTAATTCTATAAATGTAGTAGCAGTGCAAAAAGAGATACTTAGTGGTTATTTTAAAAACTATTATAGGGCAATATACTTTTTACTAATTGATGTAATTAAATCTCACAGGTCAAAGTTTTATTTGTGAAACATAATCATTCTCTTGTTTAGCAATAAAAAAAAAATCAACCTTGTCAAATACTCTGAAAAAAAAAAAAGAAACTATTATAGTGGTCCCTAATACCACACATCAGTCATTGAATAAGTTTTAATAGTAATTATTTTTCAAAACATCTTTAAGTAAATGCCAACATACTTTTTTAAACATTCTGAAACATGGTCCTGTGATCCATAAACATTTATCACTTTGAATATGTAAAAAACATAGTCGTTATCCAAATTAAATGCACCAAAATTATTCTTTTAATTTTCTCAAAACAAAAAAAATCTCAGTTCTGCTTTATTATTTCGATATTATTAATATAAATGTAGCACTCTCAGTACATGAAGATGGCAATAACAGCCAACCCTCAGCAGCACGCAGAACCTTCTCTGTATAAAAAATGGACTTGCACTGATTTTATACTCATTAACACAAGGTCCTCCTCATTGCCAATAACAGGCCTTTGGAGAAAGCCTAGCCAGAGAGAGAAATGCTCCTTGACCAAGACACAGACTAAAGTGAATCTGTGACTCTCAAACTGTCACACTGATCTAATCAGTGATTATATAATTCAATTTTAAGGAGTTTACACATATCCTGAGTAACTCAAAATCAGACAAAAAGCACACTATATACTTGTGACATGTACTTGGAAAAAATGCTTATAACATATCATGCTATTGTGAGCTAAGATGAATATCAATTATTATTATTTAGCACAAAGGAATAAAAAAGATATTGAAGCAATAAACAGAATGACTATATGAGTATAAAGTATTCTGTTAATTATATATGTAATTTTATATTTTTTTCTAAGTATTTCCTATTGCCTTTTAGTAGATGGTCTTCTTGTTTACTGTTTATTTGACAATCTTTAAATATCAGATTTAATGATTATAAAATTTGCCCATTTAAATCTCATTACTGAAAAAAATACCTGTTCTTCTGCTCTTGCTGCAATAACTGAACAGCTATTTTCCTCAAATGAGTTACTTCCTTCAAACCATCATCCTCTTCCTCAGCAAGTAATTGTTCTTTCCCAAGTCTGAAAGGTAACATAAACATGATTATCCAAAAAGTAAGGCAGATGATATTTTATGTTAGCTTTCAGATGTAGAAACCATTTTTCATTTTAATAGCACATGAAATGTTCTTGTATTTAAAATGTTAAAATAAGAAATAAAGAATATTGAAGGAATATACAAACATATTAATATCTATCCTCTCAATAAGAAATGTCGCATACTGGTTATATTAATATAATTAATGGCTAACAAAGTAAACTGCATTACCATTTTGTAATTTCTGAAATGTGAAATAGCCATAGTAATTTAACAATGAGTATTCTCCATCTTGAGTGTAATAAGGACCACAGAGCTCTATTTGGCCTATCTTTAGAAATAGAAAATGTTATGAAAATTTTTCATTTTATCAAACCACTCTGCTTTTATCAGTTCATTTATTTTGATTTTTAAAATCTCTGTGTAAAATGTTTAAGTAGTGAAAATGCAAAATAGATTCAGATAAGATTGGCAAATTTGCAAAAAATATTCATTAAAATATATGTATCTTTTTTGTCATTTAAAAAGAACAAAGAAATTTTAAAATTGTTCTCTAAACTCTAGTAATTTTATCCCAAAGGCATTTCATTTAAAAAATGGTATCAGCGACTTCCCTGGCAGTCCAGTGGTTAAAACTCTGCATTTTCACTGAAGAGGACACAGATTCAATCCCTGGTGGGGAAACTAAGATCATGCATGCTGCATGGAAAGGTAAGTAGGCAAGTAAATAAGTAAATAAATAAATAATGGTATCAAACCTAAGACTCTGTATCTTTACCATATCTTGCATGCTACTGGAGTCTCTCAAGGTAAGACAACTGTCCTCATACGATAACATGAGAAAGTAAGAGAAAAATGAAACACAGAGAGTAAAAAAGCACTGTAACCTCCTTATGGGGCACCAGAGATGATTAATTAATGACTATTAAAAAGTTACCAATGAGGTCATTTGAGGGAAGCACAATACAGAGAAAAGAGAAAAACTTCGGGATCAGAGAGCTAGACTCACACCTGAGGTTCTAGTGGACACTAGCTAAGTGGTTTTAGACAAGAAACTTTATAGTCTTCCAGCTTCACCTTCCTTATCTGTAAAAATGTGGACAATATCCACCCTGCAGGATTTTGAGAAGATTAAGTAAGAAACATAGGAAAGCATGTAGCACAGATCCTGGTAGATGGTAGGTATTCAACAAATACTCTTTCCTTTCTGAAAAAAATGTGGTAGGTCAATTTCTATCATTTCATAAGACAAAGGATACATAAAAGATCCAAAGTAAATTATTTTAATAAAACAGAGAAGTAAATACCCTTAAAATTACCATACCCAGTTTCATGTAATGTAAAGTTTATTAAATCAAGAGTCAGAACACTTCAGTTTGAGACATTTGAAACTCCAGGTCTCAGTTTCCTAATTGGTCAAATTATAGCAATACCATCTGTTTTAAAGAACAGCTAGATAGCTCAAATGAGGCAATGTATGGGAAAGTATAATTTTCTTCAATAATAGTAATAGGGACATTATAATTACTTATGGAGAAAAACAGTGTACATACTACATTCAACTTATATGTTTACTATAATTTTCAGCTTCATTGAGGAAAGCAGACAGATAAAATATTCACAAATTAACTATCTGAACTTAACAAGTAAATGAACAAAGAATTTATTCATTTAAGCAGAAATATCTAATGATATTTCAAGTATTAATAAGCAGTACTTCAATTTGCAAATTCATGTGTGCTTACCTTTTTTCATCTCCCAATTCTTCATTTTTCTGAGATTTTTCAGGACCTTTCTCTTTTCCCTTATATAAAAGAAAGTTATCATTTTAAATTGCATGGTTCACTTTTGTGAGATTAAGGAGAACGTGTTATTGATATCTGTTCAAAGTTTTCTTTACCTTAAGGAAAGCAACAAATGATCCAATATGTGCATCTCCTCGTTCAGGAACTACTACATCATCTGTGTTGGTGTCAGCAAAATCATACACCTCCTGGTCTAAGTATAGATTAATACTTATTAGAAAATATGAATAGTAAACAGTGTGCTCTGTCACTGCAGTGCTTAGAAAAAAGTATATTTTTCTCAATAAAAGAGTTAATCAAAGATGCTATAACTTGGGGGCTTCCCAGGTGGTGCTAGTGGTAAAGAACCCACCTGCCAATGCAGGAGATGCAAGAGATATTCGATCCCTGGGTCAGGAAGGTCCCCTGGAGGAGGGCATGGCAACCCACTCCAGTACTCTTGTCTGGAGAATCCCACAGAGAGAGGAGCTTTACAGGCTAAGGTCCATAGGTTGCAGAGTCGAACACGACTGCAGCAACTTAGCAAGCACGCGCACACTATTATTTTTAAAGCCCACTTTTAAAAAATATTCATTTTTAAAAAGGGCTATATACATGACATAAAAACAGCAGACACCTTATGAATTACCTTTTTGAGAATCAGGTTTACTTCCTACTGAGTGACTGTCATTTCTGGATGTCTGCTCTCTATTTGATTCTGACACTTGAGAATGAAGGCTAATTGTGTCGTCATCTGATGGCTGAATGCAATAAGTAAAAAGTAAAAATGAGGCATTTTACACATATTATAAAGATTAAGTTGCTTTAATTCCATATATGAAGTACAGAACACCTGATTTAAATCTCCAGTTTTAAAACCAAAAATTAATATGAGTTTTACTGTTTTGCTTTTAAAACTGTACAAGTCTTTTTTTTAACTTGAGGTCATAAAATGCAATGCTGATCATATTTTTAAGCAAAATAAATGAAATGTGTGCAAGTGCCTATCTACTTCAAAGCTCTAGTAAAAATTTTTTGTTTTTCTAATAAAATTTTAAAATAAAATAGTTCAGTAATAGAAAAGACTCACTTCTGTTGTAGACAATCGTTTCTCTCCATTATCACTTCCAATTCCAGAGTCAGGACCATGATTTTTATTTGGATAAAAATCTTCCATACTATGGAAATACAAATTCTAAGGGCAGTTAAGGTTTTCTTCTTAAATAGGTAATACATAATTGACCTAAAATTTCTCTAGATAATATAGAATATATACTTTTGATATGTAAGATCCTTAAAAAATATGAGAGGAAAAATATCAGATCAGATAAACACTTTATTCATGTCCTTCATGTAATATTTTCACATGCTCTGTCGTAAAATAGGTTAACAATAGCCTTGACAATAGCCTATTATTTCTCCTGAGAGATTCAGAAAAGCAGATAGTCCTGCTAGAAAATCATCTTGATAAAGACCTATTTTTCTTATGAGTTTATCAACTTTCTCCATATAATGCTGGAATGTTTTTTAACCTTAATACAACCATATCTTCATTATCTCTAAAAATATATTTTGCTTCATAAATAAGAACCATTAAGTAATTAACAGAAAAAAGGCCAAAAAATGCCAGCATTGAATAAGCAATTGTTTTGGTGTGAAGAAAGAGCTGTCCTTGCAAATTTCTGAATTACAGTATGTTACTCAGGCTGCAAAATAGTTTTCACTTGGATTTGCAAATTTACCATATACTCTACATTGACCATTCTATACTCTATGGTATAGAGTATGACCATACATATGCCAAGAATCGGGCTAATTTTTTTTAAGTATTTTATTTTAAGTATTTATTTTAAGTATATAATACTTCACATTCCTTGTGAAAACTCTAGCAGGTTATTGGTGCTTTCTCATTTTACAGAAAAGGAAACAGGCCAGGAAGGGTTGAAAAAATGGCCCAATGACATACAACTTGCAAATGGCAGTCTAAGTTTTAACCCAAAATTATCTAACACTGAAGTCCCTGATCTCCTATATTTCTTCCCTAAATACTGATTTTATACTTTTCAGGAGTATGTCAACAAACTTAGGGAAGCAATTACCAAGGGTTAAGGCACAATGCTGAACACCTGAGATGAGATGCATTTTAATATGTTTGCTTTCAAAGCGATCTCAGCCCAGAGGGGGAGTATGCTTATCTGTTCTGAAGGATATAACAAAGGTAAATGGGGCTTCCCAGATGGTTTAGAGGTAAAGAATCCACCTGCCATGCAGGAGATGAGGATTTGATCCCTGTGTCAGGAAGATCCCCTGGAGAAGGAAATGGTAACCCACTCCAGTATTCTTGCCTGGGAAATCACAGTCAGAGGAGCCTGGCAGGCTACAGTCCATGGGGTCGCAAGAGTCACACACAACTTGCCGAATCAATAGCAAGAACAAACGTAAATATAAATTTTTCCTTGGGAAGGTGAGGAAAGGCCTCACCCAAGAAAGCAGCATTTGAGATTAATCTTGAAGGATGAAAGACAACAACTGCTAGCATTTGCCGAGTGCCTACACTGTGTTAGACACTATGCCAGGTGCACCTCATATTTTATTTATAATGAAATTGTACAATTTATGCATTATTATTTCTTCTTACAAATGAAGAAATAAAGCTAATAAAAGTTAACTTCTCAAGGCGAAATATTATGACATTTACTGAGTATCATTTACTGAACTAGTTGCCAGACACAAATTTAATTCTCAAAACAAGCTTATGAAGTATGTATTGTTAACATTTTAAATAAAGAAACAGGCTCAGAAAGATTAAATAACTTGCATAGGCCAAGTAGGAATTATGAGGTTAAACCATAATTAGAACTAAAATCCATCTGACTCCACAGCCCAATAAAACTGGAAAAGGTCAGTTTTCATTCCAATCCCTAAGAAAGGCAATCCGAAAGAATGCTCAAACTACCGCACAATTGCACTCATCTCACACGCTAGTAAGGTAATGCTCAAAATTCTCCAAGTCAGGCTTCAGCAATACATGAACTGAGAACTTCCAGATGTTCGAGCTGGCTTTAGAAAAGGCAGAGGAACCAGAGATCAAATTGCCAATATCCACTGGATCATCGAAAAACCAAGAGTTCCAGAAAAACATCTATTTCTGCTTTATTGACTATGCCAAAGCCTTCGACTGTGTGGATCACAATAAACTGCGGAAAATTATGAAGGAGATGGGAATACCAGACTACCTGACCTGCCTCTTGAGAAACCTGTATGCAGGTCAGGAAGCAATAGTCAGAACTGGACATGGGAAGATGGAGGAGGAATAGGACGGGGAGACCACTTTCTCCCCTACAAATTCATCGAAAGAACATTTGAACGCTGAGCAAACTCCACAAAACAACTTCTAATCACTAGCAGAGGACATCAGGCGCCCAGAAAAGCAGCACATTGTCTTCGAAAGGAGGTAGGACAAAATATAAAGATAAAAGGAGAGACAAAAGAGCTAGGGACGGAGACCCGTCCTGGGAAGGGAGCCGTGATAGAGGAAGTTTCCAAACATCAGGAAACCCTCTCACTGGCGGGTCTGGGGGAAGTTTTTGAATCTCGGAGGGCAACCTAACTGGGAGGAAAAATAAATAAAACCCACAGATTACATGCCTAAAAGCAACTCCCAGCAGAAAAGTACCCCAGATGCTCGCATCGGCCACCAGCAAGTGGGGACAGAACAGAGAGGAGCGGGCGGCATTGTTTAGGGTAAGGACCAGGCCTGAATGCCCTGAAGGCAATCGGAGGGAGCTAACAGACAGCAACTTAAACTGTGGGAGAGCGCGCGCGAGAGAGAAAATTAACCGGCGAAAAGCATGCGAACCGAACACACTGTCCGCCCTTGGCAGAACAAAAGAAAGACTGAGCAATTCCAGAGAAGAGCTAGCCGGCGGCGGACCGGCCCATCCCCCACCGGAGGCAGGAGGCAGAGGGGAGGAGAAAGGGGCAAACTCGGCCCCAGAGATGGCATCCCCTACCAAACTGCAAACAGGCTCCCAGTTTCTAACCAAAGACATCCTGAGATTCTGGATGGTTGACATCTGCCAGGAAGGTCGTGGCTAGAGGCCAGCTCCCCAGAACAGACACAAGCCACACCCAACCTGCACACACGCCGGAAACTGAGGGAGGGACCACGGAGGGGATAAGGCGCGCTGCACCTAGGGAGAGTGCGCTCGTCAAGCTCCTGGCTCCCTGGAGCTGTTCCGGCCGGGGAAAGCACAAAACGCAGGCCCAACTGAGTCTGCGCTTTTGTGTAGTACCCGAAAACCGGAACCGCACGCCACGCAGGGCCCCCTCCCTATAGAGCAGCCTGGAGCCTGAGCAGTGTAGACGGGGAAAGCACACACGACCGCCGCGAGCGGGGGCAAACCCACTGTGGCCGAAGACTGTGCGTGCTCCCCACACGCGCCAGTGATATCTGTCTGCAGCTCCCCTCCCTCCCTGCAGCACGACTGAATAAGCAAACCTAAGCAAGAGACCACCTCCGCCCGCTTCTGTCAGGGCAGAAATTAGATACTGAAGAGACCTGCAAACAGAAGCCAAATAAACAAAGGGAACTGCTTCAGAAGTGACTGCTGCAACAGATTGAAATCCCTGTAGTTAACACCAACTACACCTGAAAGGGGCCTACAGATATTGAGAAGTGTAAGCTGGAACAAGGAGCTATTTGAAACTGAACTGACTCCACATTGCCCACAAGAGCTCCAGAGAAATTCCTAGATATATGTATACTGTTTTTTTTTAATTAAAAATTTTTTTTCTTTGTTTTTTCTTTAATTTTTAAATTTTCTTTTAAAATTCCCTAATACTGCTCTATTACTCCTTAATTTTCATTTTCATTCTCATATATTTTTACTATTTTTTTAATTAAAAATTATTTCTTTTTTTTCTTTCTTTTATTTTCTTTTAAAGTCCTCTATTACTCCTTAATTTTCATTTTCATATCACTATAACCTTGCAAAAAAAGACCCTATTTTTAAAGCAAACTTCATATATATTTAATTTTTTTGTGTTTTTGTTTTTAATATTGTATTTTTAAGAGTCTAACCTCTACTCTAGATTTTTAATCTTTGTTTTTCAGTATTTGATATCAATTTTGGATGTTTAAGAATCCAGTATTCAGTACCCAGTACTGAGTACCCAGTACTCAGGAGTGTGACGATTATTCTCTCCCCCTTTTGACTCGCCTTTTTCTCCCCCAGATCACCTCTATTTCCTCTCTCCCCTTTCTCTTCTCAGTCCAATTCTGTGAATCTCTGTTGGTCTTCTGGGCTATGGAGAACACTTACGGAACAGAGTACTGCATAGATCTGTCTCTCTCCTCTTGAGTCCCCCTTTTTCTCCTCCTGCTCATCTCTATCAACTTCCTCCCTCTCCTCTTCTTCATGTAACTCTGTGAACCTCTCTGGGTGTCCCTCACTGTGGAGAATCTTTTCACCATTAACCTAGAAGTTTTATTATCAATGCTGTATAGTTGGAGAAGTCTTGAGGCTACTGGAAGAATAAAACTGAAAGCCAGAGTCAGGAGACTTAAGCCCAAAACACGAGAACACCAGAGGACTCCTGACTACAGGGAACATTAAGTAATAAGAGATCATCCAAAAGCCTCCATACCTACACTGAAACCAACCACCACCCAAGAGCCAATAAGTTCCAAGCAAGTCATACCATGCAAATTATTCAGCAACGCAGGAACATAGCCCTTAGGGTCAACATGCAGGCTGCCCCAAGTCACACCAAACACACAGACCCATCTCAAAACTCACTACTGGACACTCCACGGCACTCTAGAGAGAAGAAATCCAGTTCTACACCAGAACACTGATGCAATCTTCCCTAACCAAGAAACCTTGATAAGCCAATCATCCAACAACACCCACTGGGAGAAACATCCACAATAAAAAGGAACCACAGACGACCAGAATACAAAAAGGCCACTCCAAACACAGCAATCTAAATAAGATGAAAAGGCAGAGAAATAACCAGCAGGTAAAGGAACAGGAAAAATGCCCACCAAGCCAAACAAAAGAGGAGATAGGGAAAATACCTGAAAAAGAATTTAGAATAATGATAATAAAAATGACCCAAAATCTTGAAAACAAAATGGAGTTACAGATAAATAGCCTGGAGACAAGGATTGAGA